TAGAATATCGCAGGTCGTTTTATAGCAATTCCCAAGCTACGGCTAAATTTGGTATAAAATAAGCTGGTATCATTATTCGGCATAGTCACAATAAAGTAACTTCTGATTTGCTTTCTAATAGTACAAGGAAGAATTCATCTCAGACCCATACATTTACAGGAAATCCTGAATTTACCTGCTAACGTTTTAGTTCAGTCTAAATTCGGCCAACATAGCACCTTCTACATTCTGTATCACGACGAAGTTGCAGAATTAAACCTCTGCATTAAGACTGAAGAGGCTCCCGTAGACTCTTAGACTCAGTAGACCATATTATACATGAAATAGCCAAACTATAGATTTATACTTTTTGCAAATAATTAGTGGGGTTGTTTCGGCCCATTGATTTTGTGTCTTGTTCTTGCGATTTTGTTAGGGCAATGTCTACACAGTGACTCTATCTTTATTATGTATGCAAAATTATAAGAAGGACATTATTTCTTTTTCTACCAGACAGAAATAAAATCTTGCTCCTAAGCTAACTAGCTTTAGGTTCTATATTAGAATTATCGGAAAAACATAAAAAGTAAATTAATGAGTCCTTTGGCAAAGTAAAGTGCTAAAGGGGTTTTGCTTTACTTGCTGTTAAATAATGCTGTAATTTGTTTGTTTCTTGCCCATAGATCTGAATATTTTGTGAACGATGAAACGTTCTATGTACACCAAGGCGTACTGACACCGACAAGAGATTACATCATAAAAAATTTGCTCTGCAGCAGTCTGAGTAAACTTGCCCACGAAGCCGCCAGTCGCTTCCTTGAATGGTTGCGCAGCCAGGAAGCACGTGCTGGACGGGCCTGTATAAACATTGTGATCGTCGACTTTGCTATGGACTCTAATATCTGGCCAGGTTATGTGAGCGAAGTAATTGGGCTCAACGAACGGACTTGGTCATCGGAACCAGCCAGTTTAAACCAGAATCCCACTTAAAATTAGATCGAACAATTATCCATAACTTCCGAATACCTCGGGAAAAAGACAAAGGTATTCTTGTGCTTGATGGGGAGATTGAACAAGGCTATTGATGGTGGCCGTCGGAGTTACGTAGCTTCCTGTTGCTGGATTTTAGAAATATTGAGTCTTCAGCTCAAACCTCTGATATATCTCCATTTACATACTTTTTCCCTTATCAAAAAGTCGATCGCCTCTGCTTTACTGCAATTTAGCCAATTTAACATCCTAAATAATATTATGTTGAATAGCCGGAGATCAACCTCTTTCCTATTTGATTACGACTATTCAAGCCGAACTATATTAAGGACTATCAAAAATAATTCCTCTTGGCTTAAAATGTCTTATTTTAATCTAGGAAATATAAAAACGAGCCCTTTTGTTATATACATACATATAAACTCAAGAAGCCATCTAATCGATATATTTCTCTGTTTTAATAGAGATTTTATCAAAAATCTCAATAACTCTACCTTCTTTCTCTTATATATGGATAAAATTATGTGGACTTTGGCTAAAATCGAGAACATTAGTAAATTCGCATTCACACAAAAATTTTCTAATTAGAAACATAGTGGCACTCATTGTCACACTATGCCTTCTGAGGCGCCTTGTTTGAAGTTTAGTCTTCCAAAAATACAAACACAAGAGATAAATTGGTTGCGCAAGCAGTGTTTTGATGCTTAAGTATCCGGCTTTCCTCAATAGACTACTTTGGTTTGCTCATCTGATGGTCTTAAGGTGAATTTGATTTTATGACTTTCTCAGACTTCTAAAATCAAGTGTGTACATGCTTGACCATTCCTATGTTGGGTAAAGCTGAATTCTCTCTCGCATTTTTATAGTTCATATGGTTGCATTTTAACATAATATAGCTTTATCTGCTGAGAATGAACCGAAGGCATGTCCGGATCGAAATCGAGCCAAAATATTTAGAACTCAATATTTTTCTTAAGAAGCTAAAGCTGAGGCTAACTGCGCTTTAGACCTAAGTTTCATTTTGCATATGCAAACTTTTTACCATTTCCCATCCAACGATTGCATAAAATGGCAAGGATCCTAGCCCTTATTTTTGATATTTGGCAGAAAATGTATTCAGTTTTTACATGATTTAAAAATATATTTATAGATCTTGGTTTTTACTGTTAGATAAGAATCCTTCAGCAGACAAAGGATGCTGAATTAGTCATACGGTTGGATGGAGCAAGAAATAGGTTGAAACAAATTTCATTGTGATTGCAGAATTCCAGTACCTTATCTAGAATATGAGTAGAATCGCTCCTTGGTGAAATTCAATAAGCGAAGCAACAGCGAAAATAAGCTATTTAAGTTGTCATTCAAAATAGGCGGTTGCATGAGTCGTTTAACTGAGCGTAAATAAAATACCCTAAAGGTAGATAAGGGGCAGGGCGTGAGGAAAGTACCAGAGGTTTGCGGTACAGAAAAAAATAAAACCGCCGATCCGAAAGTTTAGGAAAGATAACAGAAGCTGAAATTGAATTACAGTGTGTTATACAAAAAGCGGAATATAATGAAAAAATAATGGAATCTCGACGATAAATAAGGCAAAAAGTTGCAGTGAATTGGGATTATCTATCATGAAAGCTACTCTTGGATCTTTCAATCCTTATTGCAGGATTGAGGCCCAAAAGTTGCCGAGAATGTGCAAAATTTACAGGCTTGCATTTGCCATTTGAGAGTTGATAAGAGAACGCTAGACTCATAAATGACAGGCCCAGATGGACAGAGCGCAACAAGCAAAGCTGAACTGACCAGAAACGACAGCTCGGTTCATGCACGAGAGCTGCCGATTGGCCTCTCAGTTGAATATGAAGACGTCTATCCGAATCAATCGGTCTAACGCAAAATTAAGAGCTTTGAGTAGGAATGGGTAGAGTTAGACAAAAATACATTAGAAAGTAATCATAATCTCTCGCGGAATTCGATAAGAGTAAGGCAGCTGTGCTAGCTATATTGTGTGTTTCGACTCAATTGCTTTGATAGCCAGTGCAAATGTCTTAGTTACCCAAATGCATAGATTTATAGTAAAAAGAGCTTCTCTCACTTTCTCAAGCAAATCATGCAGATCAGTTCAAGAAAGAAAGGTGTCGATTGGCCTATACTTGAACATAACCAAGTGTTTTCCGAATCAATCGGTTGAACGCAAATATTCGCAAAATTAAGACTTGAGTAGGTTTAGGTAAAGTTGGTCAAAAAACACATTAGAAAGTCACCATAATCTGTCGTGAAATGAAATAAGAAAAAGGCAGCTGTGCTAGCAATACTTTGTGCATTTCAACTCATTTGCCTTAATAGCAAATGGAATCGCCTCAGTTACTCAAGTGCATATATTTTTTGTGAAAAGTGCTTTTCTCTCTGTCTCTTAGACGTGCAAGGAACAACACTCACAACTCAAACACGAATGCAAAAACTGATAGGATCATAAGTCAGATAATCATATTAGAAACATACTTTATTTAACATTATTATTGCAGCAGGAATATGCTATATTGTCCTTATAAAAGGACAGTCCTTCATTACCTTAAACGAAATAGAGTGAAAACAATTAATGTCTGATTTACTGGTTGTCTCGAAAACCTACTCACTCACATAAAAAGTAATGGCTTCGATTGTTATAACAAATAGAAATTTGCTTCATCGACAATCCCAATAGAGAATATTATAAGAAAAATGCCTGACATTCCTTGAAATGCACATCTTTTCTGTGCCCCGATTTCACTCGTGGCAATGTGGCGTAATGGTTAACGTGTCGAGCTTACGCGCTGACTGCCATAGTTCGACTTCCGCTTGGGGTGTTGATAAGACCTATGCGAGGTCAAAACTGCAGTCCATAATGGATGAAAATATCATTTAGGAAAGCAAGGCTATGTGAAATTCAATGGAAAAGATCAGCTCTATTCGTTGTGGGAAAATTCAACTACCATCCTTCATTAAATTAAACCGAAATAAGGTTAAAACAACTCATATAAATTAGTTTAATCCAACAATGTTAACTCACTGTTAACAGACTGCGACCACACAAAAGGCCACACCATCTTGGTCTTCATACCTTCAATGCTAACTCATGTTTAGC